TTCTTTATCATAGCACATTCTGTATTTTTCTGACCGTACGTGTCATTAGTCTCTATGAGGGAAAGCCTGGCAAACACTTAAGCAAGTGATGCTATATATCTTCTAGTGGTTAGTTCTTATTATCAAAGATTTACTTGTTCTTAACCTCCGGATCGGTCAGCACCCTATACTGAAGTAAGTAGCATTAGCCTCGTATGTTTTGATGTTATCGCGTCTTACCTTAGCTGCTCCCACGCCTTTAGTCAAACAAACGCAAAGAGCAAAATAATTTCCGGCAGAAAGAAGCAAAATCTCAGCTGATTCCTCTCACTTTATAGATTTACACAGGGCCCGGCACGGGTGGATTGAATGCGCTGGATATCATTTTTGGGACAAAAATCAAAGAGGATATTGCTTTTCGAGGCTTAAAAACAAAGAATTGCGACATTCCGTTTTTCGAGGGTTTTTTACTTTTAGGTTTTAGGGTCAAAGAAAACCGTAAAATCTTGCTTGAGTCTAGGGGGATCTTGTTTTTTGCATTTTCGGAATGCCACTTCGTGCCGGCCCTGTTCTGAGTACTTGCGACCAATGTGCTATACCCCCAGATATTCCCTCTGATGCCTTCAGCGATCGGAATTGCAGGATTCCCGAGGTGGATCGTGATTGCTGGCGACTTTGATATGCCAGATATGCAAATGGTATCTGGCGAGTCTGCTGACCCCAATGTTTGTTGTCGAGCGGCGGCCGTTCGATGCATGGCCGACGACACGTACCGTTGCTCCCTCGCGGCCATCGTACAGTCTCTGCACGACTTCTCGCGAATGTTTCACGAATTCTTCTGCCTTTCTGGTCCTTTTCCTCCACTATCATTTCATCGATCGTCCGCTTCGGCTCTGAACAGTTCGCGCGACGGTTTCCCATTGATCGATCGTACTTTTTTCTCGCTGGTGTGGTGGCAAACACGTGCGGTCGCGCCGCCAACGTTGGCGTCAAGGTGGTGGAAGCGCTCATCCTGGTGTTCCTAAGCGTGGGCGAGTGCTTCTCCTCTTTCGGTCTACTGTACTCTCCTTGTCGATAAGCTCGAATGAATCATTCGCTTTTTGGGACACCGTACAGTTCACACCTTTTT